CAACTGTTGCAGAATCCCCACAGTCAGGTGATCAAAATTCTTGGCTTACAAACAGTCATTTAGTAAATGTTTGAAGATGCAGTAGCACTGGAAAGAGAGACTTAGGGCTGGTCCTCGCACCTACGACCGTTGCAGCATCCCCATAGTCATGTGATCAAAATTCAGATGCGTGGCAACTGATTCACATTTATGACGGTTGCAGCGTCCTGGAGTCATGTGATCCCTTTTTGTCACCTTCTGACAAGCAAAGTCAATGGGGGAAGTCAGGCTCATTTAATAACCATGTTACTAACTTAACTGCAGTCTCCTGGGGTCATGTGATCCCCTTTTACGGCCTTCTGACAAAGTCAATGGGGAAGCCGGTTGTTGAGTGAATCACTGCAGTTGTTAAGTTAGTACCACGGTTGTTAAGTGAATAAAGCTTCCCCCATTGATTTTGCTTGTCAGAAAGTCACAAAAGGGGATCACGTGACCCCCCGGGAGACACTGCGACCGTTGTAAATATGAGTCAGTTGGCAACCGTCTGAATTTTTATCAAGTGATCATCACGAGGATGCAGCAGTGGTCATGTGAAAAACGGTCAGAAGTCACTTTTTTCAGTGCTGTTTTAACTTGGAATGGTCACTAAACAAATGGCTGTAAGTCGAGGATTATCTGTGGAATTTGACTGTCTGATTCTCTTAACAACTGCAGCGATTTGCTTAACAACCGTGGCAAGGAAAAAGTAGTAAAATTGGGTGCATAGTTTAATAATCTGTAAGGCGGATAATTAGGGGCCAGAGACTAAGTGTGTGGCGTGGTGCTTTGTGGAAATTGCTGTTATTCTCTTTGCTGGACCCCAAATAAATTGGAAAGTCCAAGTGCAAGGAGATAAAACTTCCACTTTTGGTGATACTTGGTTTTCCCCTGTTCCTTTCCAGGCCTTGGGAGAGCATATGGAAAATGTTTACATCTATGATAGAAATATGGGGACAGGGAGGGCATGGGAGCAGTTTTGATCATGGGGCTCTCTGACCTTGGCAGTTTTCTTGCAGAAGATTCATGACCCAACTAGGTAACATCATCAGTGATGGAAGGTAGAACTCCTCACTTGCTAGCACTGATGATGTTACCCAGCTAGGTCATGAAATGTCTCCGAGAAAACAATGAAGCTCAGAGAGCACCAAGGACACCAGTCATCTTCTTCTTCCTCTTCCTCCTCCACTTTGCAAACCCCACTCCCTTCTAGCACTGATGATGTTTCCGAGTTCCTTCATGAAATGTTTGCAAGAGACAATAAAGTTCAAAGAGCACCAAGGACCCAAGTCTTCTTCTGCTTCTTCTTCTGCTTCCTCCTCCTCCTCTTCCTCCTCCTCCTCTCCGCAAACCTCACTCCCTTCTAGCACTGATGATGCTCCCGAGTTCCTGAAAATGTTTGCAAGAAACAACCCCAATCTTCTCCTCCTCCTCTTCCTCCTCCTCCTCTCCGCAAACCCCTCATTTCTACCACCATTGATGTTCCCTCATGAAATGTTTGCAAGAAACAATGAATCTGAGAGAGTACCAAGGTCTCCAGTCTTCTTCTTCTTCCTCTTCCTCCTCTTCCTCCTCCTCCACCACCACCACTACCTCCTCTTCTTCCCCCTCCTCTCCGCAAACCCCATTCCCTTCTACCACCATTGATGTTCCTGAGTTGCTTCATGAAATGTTTGCAAGAAACAATGAAGCAGAGAGAATACCAAGGTCTCCAGTCTTCTTCTTCTTCTTCTTCCTCCTCCTCCTCCTCCTCCTCCTCCTCCTCCTCCTCCTCCTCCACCACTTCTTCTTCCTCCTCCTCCTCTCCACAAACCCCACTCCCTTCTACCACTGTTGAAGTTTCCAAGTTGCTTCATGAAATGTCTGCAAGAAACAATGAAACTCAGAGAACACTAGGGACCCCAGTGTTTTTCTTCTTTTTTTTCTTCCTCCTTCTCCTCCTCCTCCTCCTCTGTGCAAACTCCACTCCCTCTTAACACTGATGATGTTCCCAAGTTGCTTCATGAAATGTCTGCAAGAAACCACGGAAGCTCAGAGAGCACCAAGAACCTCAGTCTCCTCCTCCTCCTCCTCCTCCTCCTCCTCCTCCTCCTTTTCACAAGCTCCACTCTCTCTTTTAACACTGATGATGTTGCCTAGTTAGTTCATGAAATGTCTGCAAAAAAAACTACCCAGCTTTGAGATCACCAAGCACCCCACAGTTCAACCTGGAGCTACAAATATTTTCTCCGGACGGTGTTGTGATCTTGTCACCTGGTCTCTGGTATTCAATTTATGCTATCAATTTGGCAGTTCGTTGACCACTGCCTGGGGTCAGTGCATCTGTGGAGAAGGTGGTACTTAACCAGCGGTGGGATTCAGCCAGTTCGCACCACTTCGGCAGAACCGATCACTAATTTTTTGTTGCCCAGGCCCAGAACGGATTTCCGGAAGTGGCATCCACACAGAGAACCGGTTGTTCACCCATTCGAATCCCACCACTGTGCTTAACCATATAGGAACACTACTTCTAAGGTTAGGTGGGCCTCCAAATGGGTATTCCGCCATTGCAACGCAAGCTCCCTCCTTTCATTGGTGTATTGTGACACCAATGAGCTCTAACACAGAGGTGCAGAATATGCACAATGAATGTGCAACTCTGCATTTGGGTTGCTTTGTCTTAAAAAATGTCTCTGCAGAAACAGTTTCTAGGCACACTTGGGAAGACTCCATAGGATTCTCTGGACTCCATAGCCTATCTAGGCTGCATTAACAGAGGCATAGAATGAAGGTCACATGAAGTGTTAGTACCGCTTTACAATGCCTTGGTAAGGCCACATTTGGAATACTGCATCCAGTTTTGGTCACCGTGATATAAAAAGGATGCTGAGACTCTGGAAAGAGTACAGAGAACAGCAACAAAGATGATTAAGGGTCTGGAGGCTAAAGCATATGAAGAACGGTTGCAGGAATTGGGTATGTCTGGTTTAACAATAAGAAGGACTAGGGGTGACATGATAGCAGTCTTCCAATATTTAAGGGACTGCCACAAAGGGGAGGGGGGTCAATCTATTCTCCAAAGCTCCTGAAGGCAGGAGAAGAAGCGACGAATGGAAATTAGTCAAGGAGAGAAGCAACCTAGAACTAAGGAGAAACTTCCTGACAGTTAGAACAATTAACCAGTGGAACAACCTGCCTCCAGAAGTTGTGAATGCTCCAACACTGGAAGTTTTTAAAGAAGAGACTGGAAAGCCACCTGTCTGAAATGTATTATACGGTCTCCTGCTTGAGCAGGGGGTTGGACTCGAAGACCTCCAAGGTCCCTTCCAACTCTGTTATTCTGTAATTCTATGCCCTGAAGTCATCTGTATTTATCTGTCGTGCTCATGATCATAAAAATACATATTTGAGGAACTGTTGGTTTTCACAAGTCCCTTCTTTTTTTCCAAGCTGGACAGTCTCTGGATGCAACCGGGGGACACTACTAAGTTGTGATTAATTGTGCAGCTGAAGCAGGAATTAGAGGAGACCCTGCACAGTCCTGGACTGGATGGGAAGAGAGGAAAAGATTTAGGTAGCTCTACTTTGGAATCTCCCAGGATATATCTACAAGTAGTCCTCTACTTACCCCCATTTGTTTAGTGACCGTCCAAAATTACCACGACACTAAAAAAAGTGACTTATGACCCTTTTTCACACAACTGTTGCAGCATCTGCAGAGGCAAGTGATCCAAATTCGGATGTCTGGCTCATATTTATGACGGTTTCCCGGAGTCCTTTTGTGCAAACCTCTTACAAGGAGCGTCAATGGAGAAGCAACAATTGTGTTTCTAATTTAACAACTGTGTGATTGACTTAACAACGGGGGCAAGAAATTTCATAAAAGGGGGCACAATTCACTTAACTGTCTTACTTAGCAATGGAAATTTTGGGTTCAACTGCGGTCGTAAGTTGAGGACTAACTGTACCCCAGGTGTGAGCATGTGGAAGAAGCATTTTGACGCGGGACAACTGGCGCATAAGAGGCGGACGTTTGACCTCGAAAACCACCAAGTCATAAGGATAACCATGAATTCAACATTTTATTTCATGTCTTGCATGGCTCAAATAAAGATGAAGACTATTCAGAGAGAAGTGCCCGATTTTCTCCTCTCTATCATGGCAATACAATATTTGTTGATTAACCAACCATACAATAAGGCATCAAACACAAGAGAACCATTTATTGGATCCGCATTGAATGCAGTCTACGAGCCTGAACAAGAAACACCAAATGTCCTCAAGACTAATTCCAGGCCGCGCGAGAGAGTTCTACACATACTTGAAACACAGCCTCTGTCTGTGCATGTGTAGGTGTGTGTGTCTTTTGTCCGACATGCTGTATGAGCACGATTGTCTTCTCAAAGCATCACTTCCCGTAGCGGTACGAGACACCGTTATCATCCAGTTCGGGAGACAACACAAATGGCCCATCCACAGAGCAACAGGTCCTCTTCAGATCCTTTTAATTCCCTCAAGAAGTTACGGGAGATCTTTGATAAACTGTCACATGTGGACCGTTTTCAATCCTATACAACAGTTAAAATCCTGGTTTACGGTTGATGCTGTAACAGGCGGATCCTCGCGTAGAACCGTCTTCCGAGTTCAGAATTCACCTATAGATCCGGTGGCTTGTGGTTTCAAAGAAGGAAGAGATGACACCCCAGAAGACAACTACAACCCAATTCTATGTCTAGTTAAAGAAATCACCATCTCCTCTCCGTAGAACGATAGTGAGAATGAACGACCCCCGTTAGTTTGTTTCTCTTGTCGACGGTGTTTCAAAGTTAATTTCCAGGTGTGATGGCCCAGAAGACATTAGATCTATCCTAGTCCACCCATTTTATCTTCTTGTTCCCTCTCTCTCCGTTTGTCTTCATTCACTCTCAAGAAATCGTTTTTTCCCCCAACTAAAAAAAAAATGTTCCTTCCGGTTCATCTCCCATGATGGAGCAGGTTATCCCTTTTTACTTGCATGTGTGAACATCGTAGATCCGTACACATTCCTGGCAGCTGACGTAGCAGCACCAGTGGAAGATACAATGACATTTCTCCTTCCTCTTCTCGGTCCGTGTGTTGTGTCCGCGGCCGCAACACAGCAGGTCACAACCGTCGATGCCGTGAGAGCTGATGTTGCAGACTCGGTCGCGGGTGCCAAATGAACCGGTTTCAGGGTTGGGCTCGCAAAAATTCGGGGAGTTTTCATAGTAGACCAGGTCTCGCTCTGTGGGTGCTTTGAAGAAATTATATTTGGGGCGCAGGGTTTCGACCCAGCCGCGGGATTCTCGGTGTTTCTCCACCACCATCTCAGAAGCGCTGTCGTACTTATCTTTGAGGTAGTCGCCGATGACCCGGAAGTCTGGTTGAGACCACCAACAGGTCTTGACCTCACAGCTGCCGGACAGCCCGTGGCACTTGCATTTGAGATGCATGTGGTCTATGATGGACTGAAAAAGAGAGAAAGAAAGAAAGAAAGAGAGAGAGAGAGAGAAAGAAAGAAAGAAAGAAAGAAAGAAAGTAAGAAGAAAGAAGAAAGAAAGAAGAGAAAGAAAGAAGAAAGAAAGAAAAAGAAAGAAGAAAGGAAAAGAAAAGAAAAGAAAGAAAAGAAAAGAAAGGAAGGAAGGAGGGGACAAAGAAGGAGAAGATTAATTGACTATAATATTTGTACAGGAAGTCCTCAACTTACAAGCATTTGTTTAGTGACCGTTTGAAGTTCCAACGGCCCTGAAAAAAGTGACTTAGGACTTTTGTAGCATCCCCATGGTCACGTAATCAAAATTCAGATGCTTGGCAACTGACTCACACTTATGACGGTTGCAGTGTCCCAGGGTCAACAATTGCCTTGCTTAGCAGCTGAAATTTAGGTCCGGATTGTGATTGTAAGTCGAGGACTACCTGTACTAGAAGTGGATAGATTGTTTGTGTGTGTCCCTGCCACGGTGTGAACGTGTGTGTACGTCAACCTCAATCTGAAAGAAACTTTGTCATTTGATGTGGACCCCGTTAAGGGAACGTAAACAAGAGGACCACAGTCCTTACCGTTCGTCCCGCTTCGTTGTTGTGCCTGTTCATGGCCGAGCGAGCGTCTGGCCGGTTTTCTCGCGCGTCCGCAAACTCCCGCGACACCATGCTGCCGAACTCCACATCCTCGCTGCAGCCACCCCATTTCCACCCTTCTCCAGGGGGACCTTTGTGGCGGGTGTCGCAGCCGCAGATGGTGGAAGAACCTTCCGCGCAGGAGCGGGTCACGGCGAAAGCCACTCCAGCCGAGGCAATGGCGTGGACGAAGGCCGACTCCCGGGTGGCTGTGGAAAGACAAACATTGCAATCAACCATCTCCTCAAACTGCTGGCAGGGTTAAAGGCAGTCCTCGACTTAACGACCACAATTGAGCCCAAAATTTCTGATGCTAAGCGAGACATTTGTTCAGTGGGTTTTGCCCCATTTTATGACCTTGTCAAGGGAATCACTGCCGTTGTTAAGCTAGCAAGACAGTTGTTAAGTGAATCTGGCTTTCCCCATTGACTTTGCTTGTCAGAAAGGGATCACATGACCCTGGGACATTGCAACGGTCATAAGAACAAGTCAGTTTCCAACTGTTTGAATTTGAGCTCATGTGACTATGGGGATGATGCACTAGTCGTGTGAAAACTAGTCATAAGTCATTTTTTTCAGTGCTGTTGTAACTTCCAGCCGTTGTTAAATGAATGGTTGTAAATCGAGAACTACCTGTAACAGAATAACAAAGTCAGAAGGGACCTTGGAGGTCTTCTAGTCCAACCCCCTACTCAGGCAGGAAACGTTATACCATTTTAGACAAACGGTTGTCTAATCTTTTGTTAAAAACTGCCAATGTTGAACAATCAATTATTGCCTGTTCTAGCTGGGGTTACAGGTAATCCTCAATTTATAACCATTTGTTTGAAGTTACAACTGCACTGAAAAAAGGGGCTTATGATCATTGTTCACACTTACGACCGTTGCAGCATCCTCACATGATCAAAATTCGGACACTTGACAACTGGCATGTAATTTTGACGGTTGCAGTGTCCTGGGGTCACGTGATCACCTTTTGTGAATTTCTGACAATGGGGAAGCCAGATTCACTTAACAACCATGTGACTAACTTAACGACTATGGTGATTCACTTAACAACCATGGCAAGAAAGGTTGTAAAATGGGGCAAAATTCACTTAACAACTGTCTCGCTTCGCAACACAAATGTTGGGCTCAGTTGTGGTCCTAAGTAAAGGACTCCCTGTAATAAAATAAAATAAAATAATATCATACCATGTAATATCACATGATATCATGTATTATCATATAATATACAAAATAAAACAAAACAGGAGTTTGCTACCTGATCCAAACAGGTAGCAAATGGAAATTTCCCTGTTGACCTGACAGGGTTATCAGCCACACTGTAAATGCTGTTTTATGATATCTTTAAATTCACACCTGCCCGCTGGCTGTTTCCTTCAGGCTTGTACAAAGATAAACCAAAATCTCAGTATGCTACCTTAACAGGCCATTTTAAAAGTTTACATTAAAGACTGCACGTCCGCAGCTTCTTCAAAATCCCGAACCTTCCAGAAATTAGGATTTTAATTTTAACCGTATTATTTCAGAAACATGTCTCAAGACAGAAATTACACATATCCTAGTTCAGCGATGGCGAACCTTTTAGAGACCGAGTGCCCAAACTGTAACCCAAAACCCACTTATGTATCATCGGGTGCCAGGTGGGCGTGGCCCATTGGGTGGGTGTGGCCCATTGGGTGGGCGTGGCTGCGGTGGTAACGGCAGACTGGGTGGGACTAAAAAGTTCAATCAATTCCAACTTTGCGAGATCTTTTTTTTCCCCCGTGAGAAGTTGAAATTGATTGATTGAACCTTTTTTTTTTTTTTGCACACGGCGGTGGAGGCCTAAAGCGAAAAGGTTTTATAAAACCCAGCTGAAGGCCTAGGACTGGGGCGACGGCGCGCGTGCCCACAGAGAGGGCTCTGAGTGCCACTTGTGGCACGCGTGCCATAGGTTCGCCACCACGGTCCTAGTTGCTTAAGAGTAATGTGGGTAGCTACTTTTACCTTAGTGAATGTAACCCTCCTATTGTGGTTTATGGCTGAGCCAGATCACAGTCACTTGTTTGATCAAGTGTGTGTGTTTTGTTTTTGTTTTAAATTGATTTTGTATTAAATAAACCATGTTGTTCTCTTGAATGGGCCCATTCACACATTAATTAATCTGGTGTTTCCCTGCAGCCTGAATAAGTGTGGACTTTGAGAATTCCCCAGCCAGAACGGTGGATAGGAGGAGAGGAGAGGGGAGAAAAGAGAAGACAAAAGAGAAAAAGGAAGGGGAAAGAAGGAGAAAGCATGATGAGAGGGAGGGAGGGAAGGAAGGAAGGAAAGAGAAAAAGGAAAAAGGAAAGAAGGGAGGCAGGAAAGGGGAAGGAAAAAGAAAGAAGGAGGAAAGGAAGGAAAGAGAACAAAAACGGGAAAAAGGAAAGAAGGGAGGGAGAAGGGAAGGAAAAGGGGGGAAGGAAGGAAGGAAGGAGAAAGATAAAGGAAGGAGAAAGAAGAGGGAAAGAGGAAGGGGAGGGAGGGAAGAATGGAAGGGAAGAATAGAAGGGAGGGAGGGGATGGAAGGGAAGGGAAAGGAAGGAAAAGAAAGGAAAGGAAGGGGAAAAGGAAAGGAAAAAAGGAAAGGGGAAAGGAAAGGAAGAAGAAAAGGAAAGGAGAGAGGAAAGGAAAGGAAAGATTTTCTCAAAAGCAACCTTCTCTACCTTGGCAGGTTGAAGACGTGTAGACTTCAATTCCCAGAATTCTCCAGCCATCATGCATGGAATTCTTCCCACTGGCTGGGCAATTCTGGGGCTTGAAGTCCACCCATTTTCAAGTTGCCAAGGTGAAGAAACGCTGCTTGAGCACGACAGACAATCCAATATATCTGAGGCTCTGTTCCTTAGCAGGTTTCTTGGTAGCCCCATCAAAAGATCTCTAAAAGGACCGTGTCTTTCTTGTGGCTTTGAGCAGGGACGAAGGAAAACGAGACGAGCCCCCCCCCAGGGCTCTCCAAAAGGCCTTCCAGCTTCTCACCCACCCCTGCCCGGATGCTTCGGAAGAGACCTGACCCTTCTGAGCTGAAGCAAGGTGCCTCGGGCTTTGCAGAAGAGCGAAAGAGGATGAGAGGCACGTACTTGTAATGGAAGTGATGGGTTATTAAGATGCCATATAAAAATGTAAGCTCTTTGACGGAGATAAGAGCCGAGAGGGCTGGGGGCATATTTGTTAGCCGGCCTGGGTGGTTCGCCAGAGGTGTAGCCATGACAAGCAGCAGGTCATGACTTGAGATGTTCGAGGTGGGCCTTCTGGAAGGGCTGGGGGTGGGCCAGGAGTGGGCCGAAGGGGGTGGGAAGGCAGAGCTTTTGAAACAAGGGTGTGCAAGGCCTCCACAATTTGACCAACTTCCCTCTCTGCTCATCAAAGCCCCCCCCCCACTTTTTCTAGGAAACGCACAATTTGGAGGAACCTTGTAGAGCAGTTGGACACATCTTAGAAAGGTGGGAGGAAAGAGAAGAAGAGGAGGACCAGCAGAAGATGGATGGACTCAGTTATGGTGGCGATGGAGGCATCATTAGAAGAGTTAAAGGAGCAAGTTGGGAATAGGTCCTCATGGAAAAATTCTATCTAGGTGGTTGCTCAGAGTCAACACCCTTGAAGGCAATATAATCCATCTAACATTCAGTTGGTGCAAAGAGCCAGCTTTCTGGAGAAGACCTTTATGATGGTGGGAAGGTAGAAGGAAAGAAAAGAAGAGGACGATGAGAAGGTGGATAGACTCAGTTTACACTGGTGATAGGGGCACCTTTGGATGACTTGAAGGATGAGGAACAGATCTTCTAGAAATAGGTAGATCTGTGTGGTCACTAAGAGTAATAGTGACTTGATGGTACACCATCTATCAATTAAAGGCCAAAACAGTGCTGGGCTGCATTAACAGAGGGATAGAATCAAGATCACGTGAAGTATTAATGCCACTTTACAAGGCCTTGGTAAGGCCACACCTGGAATCCTGCATCCAGTTTTGGTCACCACGATGTAAAAAAGATGCTGAGACTCTAGAAAGAGTACAGAGAAGAGCAACAAAGATGATTAGGGGACTGGAGGCCAAAGCATATAAGGAACGGCTGCTGGAATTGGGTATGTCTAGTTTAATGAAGAGAAGGACGAGGGGGGACATGATAGCAGTGTTCCAATATCTCAGAGGCTGCCCCAAAGAAGAGGGAGTCAAGCTGTTCTCCAAAGCGCCTGAAGGCAGGACAAGAAGCAACAGATGGAAACTCATCAAGGAGAGAAGCAACCTAGAACTAAGGAGAAACTTCCTGACAGTTAGAACAATTAACCAGTGGAACAACCTGCCTCCAGAAGCAGTGAATGCTCCAACACTGGAAGTTTTTAAGAAGAGACTGGACAGCCATTTGTCCGAAATGGTATAGGGTTTCCTGCCTGAGCAGGGGGTTGGACTAGATGACCTCCAAGGTCTCTTCCAACTTTATTACTATTATTATTATTATTATTACTACTACTACTACTACTACTACTACTACTACTACTACTACTACTACTATATATCCCTCCTGCTATGCTATGCTAATGCAAACAATCAGCTCCTTGGAAAAGTCCATAGTGCAAAGAAAGATGGAAGCAAAGAGTAGAAGAGGACAACCAGGAGTAAATGGGATGGAGGCACCATTGGGAGACTTGAAGGACCAGGTGAAGGAAAGATCTTCCTGGAGAAGATCTATCTATCTGGACACTGAGCCTTGACACCAAGTTGATGGCAGATAGTCAATCAGTCAACCAATGCAAAGACTCAGCTTCCTTGAGAAGTCAACAGTGATGGGAAAGATGAAAGGAAGGAGAAGAAGAGGGTGACTAGCAGAAGGTGAATCAACTCAATTATGGTGGCAATGGGTGCATCAATGGAAGTCCTGCGGGACCAGTTTAGGGACAAATCACCCTGGATAAATTATGTCTATGTGATCACTAGGATTGAAAATGATTTGATGGCACATCATCCATTCATTCATCATCCCTTCCATCCAACCATCCATCCATCATCCCATCCACCATCCCATCCTCATCCCATCCATCCACTGTCCCATCTATTATATCCATCCATCCATCCATCCATCCATCCACCATCCCAATCTCATTCCATCTATCCATTGTTCCATCTGTCATCTCATCCATCCATCTATCATCCCATCCATCCATCGTCCCATCCTCATTCCATCCATCC